TATACTATTAGACTGTTATCGTGGTAAAGTGTTTTAGCCTAAAGCGAAGCTTTAAAAGCTTTTTTCTCAAAAATGACTTCGCGTCACCACCCTAATAGTATACTACTAATATACCGAAGCTCTTTAAAATCCGTGGGTATCCCATTGTAAGATCCCCTTGTTAATTATTATTACATATTTAACGCAACACCCTATATTATTATTATATATACAATTAACAATTATTATACTATTTATATGTATATATAAATTAGTATAAATTACGTCAAAAAAGTAACAAAAAGAAAAATTGCAAATAAATCAATGAATAATAGACAAATTTCAAAATTAAAATAAAACAATCAATTATATTTAATTAATTCAACTAATCGTTCCACGAACGAACATCCAACTAAAATCACTTAACAGAAGTCCCTTTCACTGGACACTTTGACGAGTTTAATCTCGTATTCAGAAAATACAAGCGTGTAACGGTTAATCGAAGGCCGACTAATTCGCGATTATCTCAATCTTTGAAAATAAACGTTAGAGAATATTAATTTATCGACTTGTTTATTGATCGAAAAAAAAACAACTTCGAACATATTACCTACGAAAAATTTCTTACGCAAACATCAGATAAAAATGAATTCTTATTTTTCTTATTACAATTAACTATTTTCTCTATTCATTTCCATACAATAACATTTCCTCGTTTGCTCCTTAGAATTCGAATTTTCGAAGAAATTTCATTTTTCTAAAATTTAATTGAATTTATTTTTTAAATGACACGAACAAAAAAAATGCATTAACGATCTAATGTCTTGAAATAAAATGTTCTTATTTAATTTCGACAATTTTAATTACTTATATATATAATTGTTAATAACCCAGTTTTACTATCCAAAATGTAACAAAGTAATTGTCATTATAACAGTAATAAACAATTTTAACATGCTTGTGAGTCATGGTAAATAAGAAACATTGTAAAACAAAACAGTAATAAATAACTGTACTCATTCAAATTATTCTTTAAGAAAGTATTAAGTATTATTAAAACATCGATAGGTGTACGAGGAAAATAAAGATCGAATTGACATAAGGAAATTTGTGGTAACGAACGGAGGAGTCATTTTAAATATGATGCGTAAGAGAGATTTATTGAAATTTAACGTTTTCTAATATATCGTTGGATTTCAAATGATCAACCCACTCTCGTATTATGCATATTCGAAAATACATATTTCGGTTCATTTAGCGATATATATATAATAAATATATATATTCTCTGTGTGTATATATTCGTATGCTTCACAAATTTAAAATAAATATTTGACAATATAATTAACATTGTTATAGAAGATTAATTTATACAACATTGCGTAATATTTTTTTTTTACATATTAATTACAGTATTCGCATTGTTTCATAAAAGATATAGGAAAACCAAACTTTCGTATACCAGTGATATTCTTCAAGTTTTTACATTTAAAAAAATTAATTATATATTATATATAAAATATAATCAATTTTTAAAAGGATAGTTTTCAACGATTATTACATATACATATGTAGAGTTGTCATCGTAGAGATTAAAATTCTATAAATAAAATATATACGTATATTCGCTTTAATCTATTAGGAATAATATGGAAATTTGTATACGCGATTAAATTGGCTAAAATATTAAAAATTTTAAAATTTCTTAACAAAAAAGAAAATATATATTAAAATAAATCATACCTCGTTCTATTTAATCAGGAAAAATAAAAAATCACAGATATGTTTCATTTCGTCGAGAAATGCTTAACTATAAATAATTAAAATTATTATAAAATACCGAGCACAAAAATTGTGCAATTATCCAAATATGTTTTCAATATTACTGATACGATTATTATTGTTTTTTTGTGCTATAATCATGTAGTTGAGAATGTTTTAAGTATACATTAAACAGTAAGTAGTTATTAAGTAGTAAATTAACTAGATTCCCGCAAAATACATTGCAAGAAATAATTGTACTGCGAAGGCAATTTGTTATGTCTATTAAGATATATACCAGATATGTTGTTTATCCTGTCTCCAATATTTACCTTAAAATATTAAAATAAATAAATCAAATAAAAAAGATATCGTTTAAAATTTAAAACATATTTTTGATTTAACAAAAATATCGGCTGAAGTAAAATAATGTTTTAACTAATACTGCAATATCACATGAATAAGATTGTAAAAAATCGGAATAAAATTGTGCCTAAATATTATTGGAAATATAATCATGGAGTAAAAAGATATTCGAGATAATTTGATCCCATGTCTTCGTCCTGTAGCACCAAATTGACACGTATAATTTAGAACCATGATGTGATGATATACATATCTTATTTCGTCAACGAGAATGATGAAGTCAAGCTATTTGCCTTTGTACAATTGCTGAATTAATATTATTTCATTATAATGTCGATGCTTCTTTATCAGGAATATTTCTGAGTCCATTCTTTTCCCAGTAATAAACCGGAGGTCCTGGAGTAAAACAATACTTCATGTCCAATGGCTCATCATTCTCAACATAGTACATCAAATAAAAGTTACACATTTCGTCTTCGTTTGTAGAGCCAATATTAGTCCAAGTATTGCGTATATTTTGCATAGTGCAACGAGCTGCAACTCTATCATCCGTGGTAATCGAAACATTATTGCTTACAGGATAAAACATCTGTGGCGTAAGAGGATCTCTTTTACCAAGTTCTATCCATTTCCAATCAGGTTTTATAACATATCCAGAAATGATTCTACCCAAGGAATGACTATGCGTTCTATATGCTATAGGATATATAGTCTTATTTTCTCTAATAATACAAGCAGATTCCATATATTCCACACTTTTAGGTGGTATAACACCCGCGGTTCCCAAAAGAAGTACACCGGCTAATTTATTAAGTGGACGCAAAGTGTAATGTAGAAATACTCCAGAATCATCGGTACTACCATCTTTGAAACGATCAATATGTGCGTAATGTACTTGAAGAACAATATATTTGATTGGCGAATCACCTCCAACTTTAAAACCAACACCCTCTGGTAAATTCAAACGAGGTGCATCTCTAGCCCAAGCATACAAGATCTATATTATATAAAGAATTACTTTTTATATACACTAATACTTTTTTTAATTATAGACATTGAAAATTTATAAGTCATGTTTTACTTACTTGAGATCCTTCGCTGCAGGGAACAGCTGTTTCATGCTGGCCATTAAGAGATTGTGCCATCTCACCGCAGTCCCATACAGTCTTGGTACTTCCAGGTTTTGTACATCCATACAAGAGCATATGGTGAGCTGTTTCCATAGTCGCATTTGGCTCAAAGCCAACAATATAGTAACTCCTACTTGGATCTACTTTTATCGGAGTGCATAAGTACAATTCTGGCTATAAATTATAAATACAAATTATTATTATTAATCATCAATATATCTAACAATAAAATACTTCATATCACGTAATTACATTTTTTACAATAAATCCAAAATAAAGAAATCAAAAATATAATTATTATGAAATTTGCCTATGTTTAAAAATAAAAACAACATAATTTTTTATCACAATATAATACCAATAATCATTTTGAATTGCAGAAACGTATTGTCAAGGTCTTAAAAATGCTATATAAATGTTCATAAAAAATAGAAAAATGTTCTTACCACGTTCGGGCTAACATTTGGCATTAATAATGAATATTTTTTCACGTTAGAACAATCGATGGACTTAAAAACAATGCCAAATAAAATAACGAAAATAAATAAACCCTTTTCGTTCATTTTTCTATTACTATTATATAACGTTTAATAAATAATAAATTTAATTAAAAAACCATTTACTTCTCAGTTATCGCGCGTTATGTCAAACTGAATAGGTCAATGCAACTATAGTTTGCATTTAACACGTAGGACGCGCGTAGGCGTTATATACGTAAAAGTATAGACGTGGTGATTACAGTTATAAGCGAATCGATTTTACACGTGGCGCCATCTTAAAAAAAGCGCGATAACATACGACATTATGAAATGAACAAAAAATATATATATTTGTAAAATGTTATCTAATCTAAAATAACAAGAGAGGAGGCTTATTTAAATAGAAATATTCTATATTTTCTTCTTTTTCTTCTTATTATTATTAGTTTTAATTTTTTGGACGGATTCGTGTTATAATTAAAACAATATTATAATTTAACATTGTTAAAACATGAAAGCGCTATTTACAACGTCTTCTCATCGACATTTGAAATAAAAATACTTAAGATAATCTTAAGCATAATTAAAGAATATTAATTATATTCATAATTATTGTCTTTTATTAATATAAATATCGCGAATTTGATCCGTGAGCCATTCTATAGCCGGTTGTAGTCCTTCGCCAGTAACTGCATTTGTTGCTCGTATATGCCATGGTTTATTCTGGATTTTTTCTAATCCAAGACCTGCGACTAATTTAACAGTTGTTAATGAGTCCGGTAGATCCATTTTATTTGCCAAAAAAAGAATTGGTATTTTACGGCCTGCAATAGTACAATTAAAAAATAATCTCAAGTTGAAACTTTAATAAATTCAACAATTATTGTAATTATTATACCTGCTACATCAGGATGTTGGAGTAGCATATCTAATTCTTCTTTAACAACAACTAATCTTAGTTTATCGCTACTGTCAATAATAAAAATAATCCCATGACATTCTTTATAATAATGTTCCCATAAGGATCTGTGACGATCATGACCCGACATATCAAACGCGGTAAAATTAACATTTTTGACTGGAAACAAGACGATATCGACGTTTTGTGTAAAATTGACAATTAATATATATATTTGTGAGTTTGTATGTGTATATTTTTATTTAATAATATAGATAATTACATATTACATAGAAATAGTCATTAATATTCGTGTAGCTCTTTTTAATTTTATGAACTATTTAGTATTACTATATAAATGAGAACCACTGAACTATTATCAGTTGAAATTTTCTTGGCGGGACTTTATTTAAATATGTGTATATGTATACAATTTTAATTAATTTTAAGTAATATGGAATCAAATAAGTCGTCTTTTGATGATAAAAGCAATGAAGATGAAAATTTGGCAGAAGGTATGAATTGAAATAATTTATATATGAATACAATAAACCTAACCCTTGAAAATATTACTTAAAATATAATATTATTATTTTATGTCAATTTTAGATGCATCAAGTGATAAAAGAAAAAAATTAGAAAAAGAAATAGAAGTTTTAAAAGACATGGTTAAACAATTACAGAAAAAATTAAAAACTGTAAGATTAAATAATATTAAAGAAGGCATAAAAAGCCAAGGTAAAGTTGGCAATACAAATAAACAGGTTATGTCAATAAATCTAAATCATGAATTGTACAGATATAGTGGATTGTATTGTGCACATACTACTGCAACTAAGCAAGTAATTGGATTTAGTTCATTTTGGGAGCAACAGAAGAAAAATTTATATGCGATAGAATTTGTTAAGCGGAGCAAAAAAATACAGATAGGCAAATGGGTGATGCCTATGTCAGTTGATATAAAACAGTTATTGTCAGAAGTAACACTTGACACGAAAGAGGATATAGTTCCTTTTACAAGAAATTGTAAAATGCATGTCGATTGTTATATGATGAGATTGCAACAATATCAACAATTCAAGGTATTTATTATTAACGTTCTTCTTTTGCATGCGAGCTAATAGTAAATTAATACCAAATTTTCTTTCTTTTATATATTTTAGTCTTTCCTGGATAATTTGAATAATTGTAATGTGCAAACAAATTTGGGATATACTACATTTATATTAGAATTATTACACGTATACGATAAGATAAATGAAAGTTATGCTTGTATAACAATTTTTTTATGGTATAATTCTAAAAATAATAGACCAAATGACATCAAATTTGAAGTACATGGAAATATACAATACAACACTGAGACCGAGAAAGAACTAAAAAAATCTTTAAAAGTATTTTATATCAGTGATTTGATAACGGCATTTGGTAAGATTTTACAAGAAGACAATGCACATTTTACATGGAGAAGGGAGAAGAAGGATGATACTATATCAGAAATCGACGTATGAATTTAATAATTATTGATTTTAACTTGTTTGTCTAGTTTTCTTCTAACATATAATAGATATCCAAAATATTTATAGGAATCCAGTGATCCGAAGGAGAATGAAGATAGCTTAAGTTTAGAAAAATCTAAAAATAAAATATTTAAGATAAGACAGAAGAGAACGATATCACTAGCAAAAAGTGCCAAAAGGATAAAAAAAGATAATGTCGATAAGAAATTAAAGCAACAGGATAAAAATATAAAAAATCCAGAACGACCATTACAACAAGAGGTACACAAAGAAGCAAGTACGAGTAAACATATGAAAAATGCAACTTCTCTTAAACCGTCAAAAATTGTTAGGAAACAATTAAAACGTCCAAATAATTTTACCATTCAATTACGTTCACAACGAAAATTAGTAAATACTTCTAAAATGATAAACAATAATGTAAAAAAAGTAGAAAGTAATATTACTAGTACTCCTAAACGCCTACGTGCAAAAAAACTCACTGCAGTTAAAGAGTTACCTCAATTAGATATAAGTGACATAGTTGATGAGAAAAATAATGATTAAAAAAATAAAAAATATTGTTTTAATTGTTATACAATTTATATATACATATGTTTACTTACATATTAAGTTCATATATATAATTTATTCTTTATATAATTTAAAATTGTACACAAATTGTGTATTGTAATGAATTTAAGAAAAACAATAAATCACTTTTAATATATTAATTTTTTTTTATTATAATAAATGGAAAAATTACGAACCACAATATATCGATAACAAAAAATAAGTGCAATAAAAACATGTAAGTGCTGTAAAAAGCATCCGCCGTCATTTGATCCTTAATATTTAACTTACATGAAAATTTTTCGACATTAAAGCCAACCGTGGGCACTATGTCTATGCAACGGTCATCCTCGTGTTTGAAATTATTTATGACCGTCGACTTACCACTGTTGTTAAGGCCGACTACTAAAACGTTTACTTCTTTCTTTCTGAGGCCTAGAAGATTAGCTAAACGATCCAATAACCCCATTGTTTCTTCTCAGATTTTGTTATATTTATTGAACATCAATATTCCATTCCTACCCCTTCTCCTGATAGCGTCCAGTCTAGTTTTATCTATTTGAGACTAGAACTACCTATAATCATTTATATCTATATATCAAGGACGTCCACCAGCTTTCCCTTGAAACGTATTTGACTTCAGCGATGGTACGGAAATAATATGAACTACAAGCACAACAGGGTTCTTTTTCCCCATGCACCTGTCGTATTGATATGTAAATCTACGTCGGTGATTTCTCTGTTTCACGAAAAAATTGAATTTTCATTCAAAAATAACCCGCCTAAGTAGAATTTCAATTTATACATATACAGAAATTTCGAGTTAAAATAATTTTATATTTAATAATAATATATATATATAGGAGAGAGAAAGAAATATAGAAGAAAAATAAAAGAAAAAGAATATGAATATATAAAAGTTATTTAAAAAATATCCTTTCACGTACCTGTAAAAATATATAAGTTATTAAGAAAACATTATAAGGTAATTAGTTTCAATAGATGAAATAGATAGAAGGAATTAAGGAAAGGAGTAAAGGAATATGATATCAATTGGGAAGTTAAAAGAAACTAATTACAATTATAATGTTTATGGTAAGCGGTCTTTGGCTGGATTTTACTTGCAATGGAATGTATAACATATAAAATATGTTAAACATTATACTGAAAGTAAAACACAATTGCCCAGGTCTAACCACGAGGAGGTAACCGCTTCCGAAGACCCACGAGAGATGTGCATCCTAAAGATGTTCACATCTGAATACTATTTAAAGGAAATAGGATAATCTAAACGAGAATGTTTTTTAAAAAACATCACCTTTAGTCCCCACCATAAGAATTTCACCTATTCGCCGCTAACATGCATTTACGTTTACATGGCAAAATCTAACGAAGAACTGATTAAAAAACAATGTGAGTTCACGAAAAATTTGATGTTTATAAATTGGGTCAGTAACGAAATCAAGTTTAAAAAAGTCATCTAATAACATGAAATAAAGATACATCAACATTATTTTCTATTTAAAATACGTTATTAGATAATGTAATATTTCAACCAATATATATATGTTAAAACAAACTGAAATATAAGAAGAGTGTATTAAAGATATAAAAAAATAGTTAAATAATCGATAGGAGTGTAATTATTGTTAAAAAGCTTGGAATATATGTTTGGAGCTCCGTACTCTTCGAGATCCACCTTGAGACTGGCACTTTCTCTTCTATGATAATTACTTTTATTGAAAGTTGTTTATATGACTTTCCGAACGTTGCACATGTGTATAAAGGGAATAATTAATAAATCAATAAAATTTTAGATTATAACGTTCTCATTTTAGTATTCTTTTAATTTTTATGTAATTGTTTAAACTAATGAACATTGGTTTTTACGTTCCTGTGCAGTGATCACTTCGGAGGGGGAAATTTCGATGGGGGAATGTTCAGTGCTCCGAACATAAGTATATTCGTATATATTCGTTTTTAAACAATTATAGACACATCTATCGATTATTTAACAATTATTTTAATTAATAAACCAATACCACAGCGTTAGCTGAACACCATTTCAAAACAGGACATACTTTTAAATTTGACGCAGCAACTATTCTAGATTTAGAGGAAAACTGGTATAAAAGAAATATTAGCGAAACATATCACATATGTAATAATAATACGGTAAATTATAGAACAGACACAAACAACTTAAAT